TACCTTGGTCATTGAGGCAGAGTCTCTCCATGAAAACTTGCTAACATGTAGTCTTTCTGATCTGCTTGCTCTAGGGCTCCCCTGTCTCTGCCTTCCAAGGCTGGAATCACAGGCAAGCCATGAAACACACCCAGTAGTTACCTGGGTTTTTGTTGCTTGCTATTCCCCTAGCCCAAAACTTAATTAAACTTTTAGGTTTGATAAAAAAAAATAGCTGGCAATAGAGGATGCAGTGATGGGGGAATGGAGGAGGGAGACATAGGGATGGGGAAAGAGGATTAGAGATGATTTAAGAAGGTGAATGTAAGACTTCTGAACAAGGTGGTGGGATCTGTAGCACAAGTGGAAGGGTCAGCCTCAGATGGGGGTGGCAGTGCATTCTCTATGGTTAGAGAACCAGGGCACAGAAACAAAACAGGTCTATAGCTTTAGATTTAGGAAAGTGTGGTAATCTCCATATGATAGTTTTACTTTTTTGGAAAATGGGAATTATTGTCGGAACAAGAGAGTTTGAGAAGAAATCTTTGAACTTACTCTGTCAGATGACTCACAGACACACCCAGATAGAAAAAGCCAGAGAAAAGATTGTTATGCTCATCTGGCATTGGCTTTAAAAGATGGGTGATTGTCCTAATTTGCTTTCTGTTCTGTGATAAAGATTATGTCCAAGAGAAACTTAGGGAGGAAAGTACTTTTCTAGCTCGTAGAGCATCACCTAAGGAAGTCAGAGCAACAGGTCACACAGGAACCTGAAGCCAGGGACTGAATCAGAGGCCATGGAGGCAGGCTGCTTATTGGGTTGCTCCCACTCCTTTTTTTTTTTTTTGTTTGTTTGTTTTTTGCTACCAGGGACCAATTTCCCAGACTGGTTCCACTGGGATGAGCCTTTCTCTGTCATTTAGTAACCAAGAAAATGCCTTACAGACATACCTACAGGATGGAATCTCAATAGAGGCTCCTCTTTCCATTTGATTCTAGCTTATGTTAAGTTGTTGAAACCCTAACCATAGCAGGGAGGGGGAAACCCAGAGGAATGAGGGTGTTCAGAGCATCAGCATGGGTTTTGCAAGAAAGGGTCAACAGCTGAAAGCAGATATGTGGGCAGATGGAAAAAAGGACAGCCAGCAGGCTGGAAGAAGAGTCAGGGGCTCACTGGCTAGGAGGCCCCAGGACATTCAGGCAATGGCTGTCACAAAGGTGATTAAAATAGGAAGTTAAGAGACAAACATACCAGAGTTGGGAACATAGAAAATAGGGAGGAGAGGGCCCCAGTGGAAATAAACTGACTCAAGAAAATACTCCCTTTAGGAAGATTCTGTCATTATATGCTGTAAAAGCAAGCTTGACAGCTTTTTATATGAGTGTTGTTCTTCAGATACAAAAGCAAGTTTTCCCCAATGAGATTAGAAAAATATCAGGATGAATTGCTTTAAAATATACAATGCAGTTCTGACAAGATGCCTAGCTCCCTGAGCTCATCGCATAGTGGCAAGTGTGAGGAGATTCAGTTCTGAAGTCTGGAAGATGAATGCCCCCTGGGAGAGCGCTCACAAAGCCTCCTGAAATGAAGCATAGGAATAGTCTTAGTGATTAACCCACCGTTGTAATGACCATTCTTGGTTATCAATTTGACTGCATCTGGAATTAATAAAACCCAAGGGACTGGGCACACCTGTGGTAAATTTTTCTTGTCATTTGAACTGGGAAGACCCACCTTTCATCGGGATCTTTTGAGGTGGGACAATTCATCTTCAGTCAGGGCAACACTTGCTGCTGGCAGCCCACATAAAGAGCATGGAAGAAGGAAGCCTTTGCTCTCTGCCTGCTTGCCCTCACTCCCACTGTCAACTTCATTTTTTCACTGGTATTAGAGTCTACTTCTTTGGGATTTTGACATATACTGAAGACCAGCTGAGCTATCTAGCCTTGTGAACTGAATAACTACTGGATTATTGCACCTTCTGTTGGTAAACAGCCAGTGTTGGACTAGCTGGACCACGGCCTGTAAGCCACTGGTTCTCAACCTATGGGTCACCACCCTCTGGCGGGCCAATGACCCTTTCATAGGAGTCACCTAAGACTATCGGAAAACACAAATATTTATTTACATTATGATGCATAATGGTAGCAAAATTATGGTTATGAAGTATCAAGAAAAATAATTTTATGGGGTCATCACAACAAGAGAATCTGTATTTAGGGGTCACAGCATTAGGAAAGTTGAGAACCATTGCTGTAAACCATTCTAGTAAATCCCATATATGTTCTACCAGTTCTGTTCCTCTAGAGAACCCTGACTAATACAGGTCTATATTTCATGGTGTTCAGAGGAGCCTCATAGACCTCTAACTGATACAGTATTTCCAGTCACAGTCTTTAGGAGCCAAGAGAGCAGCCAGAAATCCATGAGACTGAGAAGACAGTACTAAAATACTGAGTTGTTTTAAGTAGTTCTCCCTCCTCTTCCTTTGGTGAAAAAAAACCCCCAAAACTAAAAAACCAAAAACCAAAGGCATCAGTTACTTAGCCATTGGTGAAAATATTGAGACTAACTAGCAATGTAGTTTCCAGAGGCTAGGCACTCATGACTGTGCCCTTCCATGGGATTCTAGAATACTCCGCCTCTGATTCTCTCCTTGTGAATACTGAGATGTGCTTTGCTATAGCATTCTGGACAGCAAAACAGTCCCTGGTGCTCTAAATACCCTCATTCCTCTGGGTTTCCCTGCCATGGTTAGAGTTTTAACAACTTAACATAAGCTAGAATCAAATAGAAGACCTCAATAAAGAGATGTCTTCTGTTATTGCGGGGGTGGGGCGGCGGAGTCTGAGGAAGTTCACGATCCTTCACTCCCCAGATGTGTTTTCTCTTCTAATGGACTTTTCCAAGGTGACATTCTTATAACTACACAGGTTGAAGTGCACCCTGCTTATAGTCCTTCCCCAGGAGGCTGTATTCCCACCCTTGAGTTCCCATGCAGTTATTTCTCCTGTAAAGTTCAAGCTTTGGAGAGACCATTGGTTTGAAACCATCATTAGACTTATTGCAGGCATTCAATTCCTAATTGAGTAAATTGATTCTGTCACTATCTCTGTTGGCCTGCAGTCCTGTTATCTACAAGCTTGAAAGGGTTGCCTGTTTCCAGTGACAGAGCTGTGATTGTGGTAAGGTCACTGATGTATTTTATTATGCCATTACTCTATCCTTCTGAGAATCAACTGTAGACTGATTACATGTACTCACCTTGGCTGGTGCCTTGAACCAGATGCAGACACATGAATCTGGTAAATGAAGCCCCCCTTCTAGGCTAAAATCATGGCTTCTTTCAAACAGTGCCTATTCATGGAGAATTCTTGGTTGTTGTTTTTTGAGAGAGGGTTTCTCTGTGTAACCCTGGATGTCCTGGAACTCACTTTGTAGACCAGGCCGGTCTCAAACTCACTGAGATCTGCCTGTCTCTGCCTTCTGAGTGCGGGGATTAAAGGCGTGTCATGGAGAATTCTTAAGGTTACTGAAGACATCATTGCATTCTGTGGTGAATGCTGCTTGCTGTGTGCCTCCGTGACCAAGGATCCATTTTAACAGTGGGGGATAAAGCAAAAGTGGAGTATCATGCCTGCCTCAGAGAGAAACTGTCAAATTTACCAATTCATTTCCTTTGCATGTTGTGGAAATGGCCATGGACTATCCATCCAAGAAGTTCTAACAATATTACAGGGCCATTCTGTTAGAACAGTCCAGATAATAAAAGGCTTTAAGCAGGGTTGTTCTTTTATTGAAGGTTTATTTATTACAGAGGAAGAGTACTGGCCATGTGTGCCAAGGGTTCATGAGAAGAAGTGGTTGGTATTGTGGTTGTTAGAATAGTAGAGTTTCTTTGAACATACAGAAACCAGGAGGGTATTAGTTTGGAAGTAGGGAAAGAGAAGGGAATTATTTTGGGCTTGGGATGCTCAGCATCTGGAACAGAACCTGTACAATATAACAAGAAAGGAAGCTCAGGACTGGAGAATGGTCATCCAAAGGATGGCACAGAGATTAACAGTCAAGTGCTAACCCTGTGGGAAGACCAAGGCTGGGGTTTGAGAACTAGGATCTGTGCTTGCTCTGGAGACTAGGGCAACAGCCTGTCTGAACCTGAAGCACTTTTGGTAATGTCTCAGGCTTCTGCTGAGAAAGCCCCTGCCTTCAGCTAGCCATTTGTAATAAACAAATTCCCAGACAGGAGCTTGAACTTTACACAATGTAAAGCATTTGCTGACAAGAACTTTCGAGCTGTCATGGTGGTCTGTCTCACTCTCTTATGGATAGGCTGTGGGGGAATTGGCATCAGCAGAGGGTGTCCTCTGAGCTGTTCTGTTTCACTGACACCCATGAGAGTCTCTCACCTTGGACTTGTTAGTAGATGTGTGGTCAGTAATAATTAACGTTGTGGAATTGTTACCACTTCAAAACCCGTTTTATACAGATGTGAATGTGTACAGACTTGGGTTGGGACTGAGGCAAATAAGAATGAAGTCTAGTTAGTGTCCTGTCCATTCTTACTCACTAGTATTTTTATCAGTGTCAGACGGTCCTGACTTTGTTTACATCTGGCTCAGGGGAAGTTCTTGCCATGGTAATTCATGGCATTTGAAATACTGCCAAACTGACAAATGCTTAAACAAAACAAAACATGCTGAAATATCTTTAAAAGTTTATCTAATGAAAAAAATTTCAGAGTAAATAATAAAAAAAAGTAAGAAGAAAAGTGGGAAGAGGAAGCGGAAGAAGGCTAGGGGGAGGAAGAGGAAGAATTGGGAGGGGAAGGAGGAGGGGAAGAGGAAGAGTGGGAAAAGGAAGAGGAAGGGGGTAGGAGGAAGAGGAGGGGGTTGAGTGGGGGAGGAGGGAGAAGAGGAGGACTTGTTTGTATACGCAGTTATTCACTTGCTCGTTTCTGTTTGTTCAGTACCTTATTTCATGTCCTCAAGTAACACAGTGTCAAACCTCTTAGGAATAGCACTTCCCTGAAAGGACAGCTGTAACACAGAATTTCACACCAGCCCCTGAGCTGCTGTGTGATATTAAAACCAGGTTTCGTTTCTCCCTCTTGCATCAGGTCTTGAGAGCCAACAGCAGTGTGGGTGAGGGCTGCCCTCAGAAGCTGGAGACAGCTAATCTGCTACGCTTCCTCCTGCTAGTGCTCATCCCCTGCATCTGTGCCCTCATCGTGCTCCTGGCCATTCTGCTGTCCTTCGTGGGTGAGTGATGCTGTCATTCAAAAGGAAGGAAGTCAAAATTACAATGAGTGTTGTTTATACTGACCTCTCACTTTACTGAAAGTGTCAAATCAGTGGGAGGATGGGCTCTGGCTTCCCTTGGGAAAACTTGCAGTTTCAGCCATGTAACCCCGTGACCTGCTCTTGCTATCAGTGCCAATGGAGGTTATAATGGAAACAATTACTAGATGTGAGCACCATGAAAACTGAGGGACAGCTAGACCTGTCATTTTCCACAAGTGCTCACAGCTGAGAGGAGAGAATATCACACAGGACACACATGCTGAAGACAGAGGTGATATGCAAGGTACTTGCAGTAGGTACCCAGTAGGTACCACAGGGGAGTTAATTGACACCTGAACCTTTGCAGTGAGGCGAAAAGAAATTTAGGTTGAGGGCAGGAGCAAGTGCAGGAACCAAGTAACTCCAGGACGTGCAGACGTAGATGTCAGAAACTGGGTAAAAAATTGACAACATTGAAAAATGCAGCTAGATGGATGCAGTCAGTCCCCATGGCAGCAGATTGCGTCTGTCATTGTGAGGGATCAGGACTTCAGTATGTTGGTCACTGGTTTTCAAAGCTTGAGGAGGAAGATCAAGGGTCACACTATGTTAGTTTTGTCTTTAACTTTGAAATTGAGACCTTCAATGCACACTCTAAATATCACATCAACAGTCAAGTAATACGTGCTAAGGACTCTTTCATCCATCCATCTCAGTTTAATGAACAACAGCCTAAGTTAGAAAGGCAGTTTCTTGGGAAAAACCAAAAACCTATTTGGATTGCTGTCCACCAATGTTTGGTATCAGGCTCCTTTAAATGCATATAATCAAATGAAACAGGATACAAATAGCAAGATAGCGATGATCAAATTCCATCACTAAAGATTTAAACATTGTAATTTCATCAAAGTAGCCTATTATTTTCTCATAAATTGGCTTAGGAAAGCCAGACATTTAGAAATGACAAGGTAAGTTATTTCCAGTAAATTTAAAATGTGCATTTGCTTGTGTATGTTAGAAATATATGTGGTGCTTATTATAAAATAATACTGTAATATCTTGATACCCACAGAGGATTTAGTTAAAGGCCTTCCTAAGATACCTAATAGGAACCCATAGGAGTATGTATATACAGCCTATGTACATTTTCTGGTTACTTAAAATCAACTTTAAATCTCTCATAATGCCTAATAAAATGTGAATGTAGTGTTAGTAGTTGCTCTACCACTTAGGAAATTATGAGAAGGAAATAAAGTCTATAGATGTTCAGGGCAGGTGCAATTTCTTTGTGTCCCCAATACTGTCCATTTGTGATTAGTTGAATCTGTGGATACATAGGAACAGAGGAAGGATTGTTTGTTTACTGTGAGACTGTTTGACACTCATTGTGATGGGCAGTGGGTTACAGTCGGAGGATCTTTGTACAGAAGAAGAAATCTGACTGTGTTTATATTTGCAAATGATAGCAGAGGTAGCAGGAAGAAGTAAAGGAAGGAGACTAGCTTAGAGTTCTGGCTCTGACCTAAATAAAGATTAACTCGAGTTTGAAATAAAGTCTTGGGTACATTAAAATAAGAGGAAATCAAGATGGATTGGATTTGAAGGTAAGAGAGGAAAAGAAATCAAGGCTGATTCATACCTTTCGGGCTTGGTTAGCCATGTTATTTGGGGCCATGTGTTCAGGGGAGCAGTGTGATGCAGGCAGGTGGAGGGCTCATTGGAAGATCACTTTGTGCATTAGAGGTGCCATGAGACAACTGAGTTCAGTGGGAGCACAGCCTCCATGCAAATGTCTTCTTAAATTCAGGCTTCACCAAGAAATCGAGGAATACAAGAATTCCAACATGGTGTCTTCTTGGGGACATTTAAAGAGAAATGAAAGCTATATATTATGTTTGTTTTATGGTTGTCTTTTGAATTTGCCTCTACCCATTGTCCCAGGTCTGAAGATGAAGCATCAGCAGGGAGGCTGAGAGGGAGCCTGCCTTCCCTGAAGAACGAGAGAGTATTAGGCACAACCAAAGAGTCAGGCTTTTGTGAAATATGAAGAATGAGAGAGTATGAGGCATAACCGAAGAGTCAGGCAATTGTGAAATATGAAGAAAAAACATAGTTAGTTAAAAGCCAAGGACAAAGTTCAGATAAAGAAAACTGGGCATGAAGAGATAGGGGAAGGATGGCCAGAGGAAAAAGGAAGGGGTCTGGGAACTCTGAGTTTCTCAGAGGCTGAGGAGGGTGAGACAAACATGTGGTTAGAGAGTGGTCAAGCAGGAGAAGGACAGGAGAAGGTTCAGGAGGGTAGAAGATTGACTCGTGGATTCACCAGTGGCCATTCCTTGGCCAGCTGCAGGCTAAGGCCAGTCAATAGCTCTTAGCCTCATTACTGCCATGCCTTTTCAAGATCAACTCCCAACAGACTTGCCTGCCCTCCCTTCTCTGGAGCCCCTCTGTGGCTGCTGTGTTTGCATTTTGTCCAGATTAGGCACATCTATGGTCTCTTGGGTGCTTCCTTGGTCACAGCACTGTCACTGTTAAAACTTTTTCTCATCATACGATGAATGGCTCACATCACCGAGGAATATGCCCTTGCATCATCAGGGGCCCATGTTCATAGGAATTTAAGCATGTGTTTTTTTTTTAACATTTATATTTTATTTAAATTAGAAACAATCTTATTTTATATATCAATCCCAGTTTCCTCTCCCTCCCATCCTCCTATGGCCCCCACCGACCCCCATCCCATCCCTCTTCTGCTCCATAGAGAGGATGAAGCCTTCCATAGGGTATCATTAAAGTCTGTCCCATCTTTTGGGGTAGGGCCTAGGCCCTCTCCCGTGTGTCTAGGCTGAGAGAGTTTCCCTCTATGTGGAATGGGCTTCCAATGTCCATTTGTGTACTAGGCATAAATACTGATCCACTACCAGAGGCCCCATAGATTGCCCAGGTCTCCTAACTGACACCCACGCTCAGGGGGCCTGGTTCTGTCCTATACTGGTTTCTGAGCTGTCTGTCTGGCATCCATGAGCTCCCCCTTAGGCACATGTTTAAGAGCCTCCATACATGGTAACTGCAGGAGTGGGTGCTACTGAAGCAGGGCTGATTATTTTTGCTTCATCTTTATTAGTTCTTTGAGAAATTTATACAATATATTTTAGTCATATTCACACTTCCACAAACTCCTCTTAGATCCACTCCTCCATTCCTACCCATCCAAATTTCTCCTCTCTCTCTCTCTCTCTCTCTCTCTCTCTCTCTCTCTCTCAAATATACATTAAGCCCAGTTTGTGTTGTTCACATATTCTTAGATCTGTGGCTTTCCACTGAAGCTTGTTTGACATACCAGGGGCTACAATCTTAAAAGAATGCTTTTCCCTCTCATAGCAGTTATCATTTGCTAATAGTTTCTTAGCTAGGAGTGGGACTTCATGCCCATCTCCCTTTCCTATGTTGGGATTTGGTCTGGTTTGAACTTGCATAGGTCTTTGTATACTATTGTATCACAATTGTTGTGAGTTCATATATGCAGTTGCTCTGTTGATTTATAGCCACCCTATTGGGCTCTTGTGATCTTTCTTCTCACTATTCAACAATGATCCTTGAGAATGTGAATAAATACATCATTTTGGATGACTGAATAGTATTTCATTGTATGGATATTACAATGTTTGTGCATTGACTAATAGATGAACGTTTGAATTAGTTTCAGCTTTTGGCCTTTAATTTACCTGATATCCTTCTGTGAATATTCCTGTGTAAGTTTTTGTGGGTATAAATATTTTCATTTCTCTTAAGCATGCACCAGCACAAGAATTTCGTATGCTTATGTGAGGCACTGTGGAGACTGTTAATTTGCATCTACCCCTGAATTATATTTTGCTTGTACACTGGAAATATCTACAAAGTAGGAATCTTCTGACACATCTTCAAAAGCATTTTTCTATGTTTTGCATAGCACAATTTCCTAGTGAGGCAATATCTTCCCCCACAAACATTTCATATTTTATAACTGAGATGTATGCTGTTGTAATGCTCAGCACAGCCACTTTATATCTTTGCTACTAAACTCTCATTAAGTCCTGCTTACTTTGTTGGGGAGATAATTCCATGCTTTTTCAACTCTTGCTGTTGTTCATGTGTCTATGAGGACTGCTTAGGGATCCTGGGATATAGGTTGTACTATCGGTTTCCAATCTTTCCCATCCTGACTCAGCTGGTGCCAGCATGGTAAAAACACTTCTAAGGGGGAAAGTTGTCCTTCGTAGGCAATGTATTTGAGCAGTGGTATGCAGAGAGAGTCTCATACAACACAACAAGATCTATCAAGGTGAATGTTAGGTTTACATCTCTAAGCTTATCAGAAGCTTGAATTGTCCATATGGATCCCAAGATGTAGATATAAAATAAAGATTTTGGATTTTGGAAGAAACTGAAATGTAAAAAGTTTGTGATATCTGGGATTTTATTTCCTTGGTGACTGTGTAGTCCTGTTGGGCAATATGACATAGAAGGAAGGATTTGCCTTTGAGAGATGAAATCACTTATTTATAAAAACTAAAGGCAGAGCTGGAGAGACTCAGCAGTTAAGAACACATGATACCCTTGCACAGGACTCGAGTTTGGTTCCCAGCACCCATACCAGGCAGCTCATAACACCAGTAACTCTAGCTCCAGGGAGTTGGGAATGCTTTTCAGGCATCCTGATCATGGATCACAGCATAACTGCCATATATTGTAACAATAAGTCTTTCTGCCAAGCCGCCCAAGTCCTGCTGTCACATGGGCATTTTCCGACAGGCCGCCCAAGGTCTACCTGCCACCACATTAAGGTCCCAAGTAACACAGAGAGACTTATATTAGGTACAAATGTTGCTTAGCCAATGACTAGAATTTCTCATCTGCTAGCTCAGTCTTAATTATCATAATCTATATATTTTATAAGACTTATCAGATGCCAGCAGCAAGCGTCCTGTCTTCGCAGG